GTGCTTTGTAAATAAAGATTGATTGACTGATTGATTGATTTTTAGTTTTAATCTGCTAATTACTTTAATCGTTTGTTTTGCTTAGGTTTTCAGTTTCTGTCTGATATACACTATATTGCCAAAAGTATTCGTTCATCTGGCTGCACAAGCATATGAGTGAAATCTAATTATTAACCCAAAGGGTTTAAGATCATGTTGAATCACCCTCTTCATCTATGGCAGCTTCAAATCTTTTTGGAAAGCTTTCGACACGGTTCACGAGAGTGTTCGTGGCAATTTTTGGCCATTCTTGGCTGATGATGGACGAGAAGGTCTGGCTTACAGTCTCCAGTCTAATTCATCCAAAAAGGATTGTATCAGGTTGAGGTCAGGACTCTGTTTAGTCCAGTCAGCTTCTTCTGCAGCAAACTCACTCATCATCCATTATAGACTTGCTTTGTGCACTGGTACACAGTCATGTTGGAACAGGAATGGGCCGTCCCCAAACTGTTCCCACAGAGTTAGGAGCATGAAATTGAAAATTCAAATGAATGATTTTGCGTTTCTGGGACATTTTGTCTTTTGTTGGTGTTTTCTGCATCTTCATTCTGGATCTTAGTTCCTCTTGAAACTCTACAGACTCCACAGAGGTTGTGACACATAAAGCAGCTATCATTGTTATAGACTAAGAAAGGTGCTTTTACTCACCATAGCCCATGGTCCATTGGCTATCTTGGTATTCTCAGTAAAGCATCGGACAATAAATTGTATTAACGCATGATCATACTCATAGCGTGTGGCAAAAAGTACTTGACAGATGATATTGGAGGCCGCATTGTGGAACATAACTCGAGGACTCATGGTTTTACCTGTGCAAGAAATAATGTAACAGCACAGAATTGTGAAATAATGCACAATAACGTGACAAGAAAAAAAGCACTACCCAATTTAGCTATGGATGCACAGATGGACCTACCAACACTCTCTTCCAGGGTACTAATGATGTGTTTCATCTCCTTATGAATCCTGTCCTCCATTGAGTTCTTCCCCAGACCAAAGTTCCGCAAAGTGGTCAAAGCAAAGCGACGATGTTCCTTCCAACTAGAGCCGTAATCAGCCATAAGGACCCCTA